TTTCTGACTCTGCCTGATACACACACCATTTCCTCTCGGCTTTTCCTGTTGTCTCCGAAGGTGCCCACCAGCCCCTCCGTTCTTTCCCGAGCCTGGCGTGTGTCAGGTTGAGCGCTACGGTACTGTTTTGCTCTTGGATCTCATCCTGGGATCGGAGGGAGAAGTGGAAGACACGGGAACAGGGCTCTGTTTGTCTGACACTCTGGAGGCCTGGGTTGCAATTCCAAGTGACATGTTGTAATGTACGCGTAAGAGAGGACCTTTTTCTTTCCTCGTTTCTTGAAGGTGTGAGATAATGTTGTTATGAGCAGGAGACGAGAAGATGGGGCAATGGCTGTAGTAATTCATGCTTACCACCTTTATTGTTATTTATTTTTGTTTTATTTTTTTAATACATTTTTATTGATTTCAGAGAGGAAGGGAAAGGAAGAGAGAGATAGAAACATCAATGATGAGAGAGAATCATTGATTGGCTGCCTCCTGCACATCCCCTACTGGGGACGGAGCCTGAAATCTGGGCATGTGCCCTTGACTGGAATCGAACCCAGGACCCTTGAGTCTGCAGGCCAACGCTCTATCCACTGAGCCAAACCGGCCAGGGCACCACCTTTAATAATGAAAACATAGCCCGAGGCAGGGAAGTCCCTGACCCTTGGGACTTTTCTGTCACCAGCGCCATTTCTCTGCGGAAGCTGGGACCCCTTTCAGTTTGAGCAGAGTCCTTTGGCGGCACTGACCACCATGTATGTAAATATCCCTGGCCTTGGAGAATACCTGGGTTTGAATCCTAGCTTCCCGGTTTATAAACGGTATAACTTGTCTATACTCTAACTTTCTATTTCCTCATCTATAAAATTAGGTAGTTCTAGGGTTTTTGCGAGATGACTGCAGCACTCCGTATGGTACCAGGAACAGGGTGAGTGCTCAGTCAGAGTTAGCTCTCATGACTGCCCATGGCACGGAGAGCCTGCTGCTGGCGTCTCTGAGATATGCATGCAAATGGAAGGAGAGAGTGGGCATTGAGGATTTTAATGAGCAAAGAAAGAAAAGGTGCGTGTTACAGGAAGTCGCTCACTCTAAATATAAGGGTGTCCATTCCACTTGTCTGTCTTCAATTTCCCGGGATGGGGAGAGCGAGGAGATCTAACCCCTCCATGGGGCTTCAGGGCCCCTGACAGGTGGCAGCTCTACAGGAAGTGGCAGGCCAGACCAAAGACTTCAGGTCAATACCAGGATTTCTGAAGACTAAGGGTTGCGTGGTTTAGCTGCCTGCATTTACCAGATAGTTAACATCGATCTCTTCTTTTTTTTGTGATCTAGACTTTGCTGGACTATTTTTAAAAACCTGTTCAGAGTAGTTCCTGTGTGAGATTCCTGGAGAGGAGACAGCATAGAGGCTACGTGACTGGGTCAGACAGATATGGATTTGAGTAATGATCTACCTTTCGTTTGTTTTGTTTTTAAAGCTCTGATACCTCATTTTGCTCATCTGTAAAGTGGAGATAATAGTGGTATCCACCTCTTGGGGTTAGAAATGTATGATAAAATCTTACAGAGCATATTAAGGACTCACTCAGTGCTAGCAGTAATTATGACTGACTAATATGGATAAGTGTTTGAAGATAAGGATGACTAGAACAGCAGGCATTATGTAAAGAGGAATAATTGGAGGGTTTAAAAAAAGAAGGGCTTTCTTTCATCTTGCCTAGAATGTTTTTACGAATTGTCAGGACACACACTCCACTATAGATGGTTATTAATAATTTTTAGACATTTTTGTTTTGAGAAAAAAACAAGAACAAAGAAGTATTATAGATTTAATTATCTCCATTTCTAAAATAATTTATCCTGCTGTGATTTTTAAGAGTTTGCCTCTACGAAGTCTAGGGACAGACCTCACTTTAGAATGCAGTTCATTCTTTGACTCCTGAATTGCAAGGGTGCAAGTTGGGGCCTGCTTGTCCTGCTCTCACGCTGACTGGATGACTTGGGGTCACCATCTCCAACTCTCTGGGCCTTATCCGTTCCTCACTTATAAAATGACAGGCGTGGGCCTTCCAAGACCAAATGCTGTAGTCCTGTGACTCTCAGGGGCTTGTCCTAACTAGGTTGTTTGAACCCTGTAGGGTAGTTTAAAGCAGTGGGTCTTAACCAGGGACATTTCTGCCTCTTAAGGGACATCTGGGAAGTTTACAGTGGTCACAATGATGGGATGTTTTCTCATCCATAAATTGCATAAATTATGGATTACTCCATAAATTACATCCATAAATTACTCCTACCTCAGAGGAGTAAAAGGACCATTACAACTATTTGATTTTAAAAAATGGGCAGCGGGTCTGACTTAGTGAAAAACACTGCTTAAAATAGTAGCTGATGATAATAGTAATAGCTTTGTTATAATCATACTATGATGATGGTGCTGGATGGCTAGATTTTGGTTTGGGGAGCTCAAGAAGAAGAAGGGGTGCTAAGAGTTCCCTGACCTGGTGTTCAGTTGGAACCCACAACAGGCTGGACAGTTGACAACAGGACCAGCACTGGCAGTAGCCATCATTGCCCAGAAAAAGCCTGTGGGGCCCCTGGCTCCTGGATATTGCTAGCTCTCTTGCACCCAGGGCCTCCGGTCACTCTGGGTCACTGGGCTGCCATGTGACTTCTGTTGCCTTCTGCTGGTTGCAAAATCATGCTTTCACAGGACGTCCTAGTTGGCTAAGTGGCCTTCCCAAAGCACATTCCACACGCCCACCGGACTGACGGGGGAGGTGTCTGCCCCGGTCAGAAAGCATGTTGTGTCAGGCTTGCTGCCTTTGAACTCTGGCAGTGCTATCTAGAGTCTTTGGTGATTGCAACACCAGCTCAGTCAGATTTTCCCTGGGAGTGTGCTGTTATTAACAACAATAATATTTTAAAGAGCATTTATTCTCAAGCGATGGCAGTGATTGTGGATTTGATGAGCAGACACCATGTACCAGGCACTGTACCAGTATGAAGTGCTGCAATGCTTGCAGGAACACCCTTAGGCGGGTGTCTTCACTCCAATGCCTGGGGAGAGTCCCGTGATTTGCCAGAGATCCCACAGCCACCAACTGAGAATCTCTGTGGCTCTCTCGAACCTGAGTCTGAATCCTAACCCATTGGATACAGGGAGGTGATTCCATGTGCGAGTTTTAATTATGTGTTTCCCCAGTCTAAAAAGGCCCACAGCCTCAGCATGTGTCACACCGCCTCAACCCAGGGAGAGAGTCGCTGTGGGTCCCCGAGGGTTACGCACACGTTCGGGCTGGGAGAGCAGGCAGCCTTTTACCCAGTAGCTGAAGGCTGCCAGCCAAGGTCAGGAGAAAAACACGATTCTCCCAGGGGATTTGCCGCCTGGATCCTTTCCCAGACATATTTTTTTTTCCTCTGGTCGAAGTTCAGGGCTACCATTCCTGTTCATTCCGCTCAGAAAGTTGGCAGCTTAATCAATGATTTCCTGTGCCTTGAAGATAAATGGTTTTCCTCTAAGAGATAAATTTGTATTTTTAAGGTTTCAGTGAACTTTGATTTTTTTATGATGGAATTTCATTTAAATTAGTTTCCCAACTGTGACCTGTTCCAGGGCTCATGGCCAAAGTAAATGGTGCTCACAACAGAAACTTCAGGAATATCACGAGCTCTTAAATTTCAGTCATAGATGAGGCCTTAGAGACAATCTAGTTCGGACTTTTCATTTTCTAGATAAGGAAGTGGAGTCCCGAGGAGAGAGGAAGGAGCGTGGTCAGGATCACGTCGCCGATTCTGGCTCTTTCTGCTGAAAGCATCTCCACTCGAGTGAAAGGGGGCTGTCAGTTATTTTTCTAAGATCTGTCTCGTCAAAAACTTGTCAACACAAAATGCCAATGCTTCCTAGACCGTGGATTGTCAGTAAATACAGTCACTATTACAGTGTTTTAAAGACTTTTACTCTTGTGTGCTGGACACAGGAGGTTTTTTCCATGCACACACACACGCACACATACATATAATTGATATTTAGAGAGAGGAAGGGAGAGAGAAACATTGATTGGCTGCCCCCTGCACGCCCCCTCCCTGGGGATTGAGCCTGACACCTGGGCACGTGCCCTGACGGGGAAACCAACTGACAACTTCTCCGTGCCTGGGACGACGCCTAACCACCTGAGCCACACTCACCACAGTGATGTTTTTCTTTTAAACCAGGAAGCTTACAGAACGGGAGTTGATACACTCTGTTCCGTGGGCCAAATTGGTCCACTGCCTGTCCTTGCAAATCAAGTTCTGTTGGTGCACAGCCCTGCCCGTTCCCTCCCTTACTGTCCACAGCGGCAGTGAAGTAATTGTGTGACCCACAAAATCTAAAATATTCACTGTCGGGCCCTTTCCAGAAACGTTTACCAAATCCTGCTGTAAACATGTGAAAAGAAAAAGAAAACAAGTATCCATATCTCACCCTTAGGGGCTGAAGTTGAGTCTAATTTTGCTGTTCTTGTGGCTAAGTATTTAGAAAATTTCTGATTATTCCCTAAGGATAAATTCCTAGAAGTGGAATTACTGAGCCAGTGAGAGTGAATGGTGTTTACGCTCTGGGTACCTGGTGCACAATTTCTTCTCAGCTTCCACTCCCACCAGCAGGGCCTACACCTTGTCCACATTTGACAAACAAGACCTTCTTAGCTAATGGGTTTGGTTTGCTTTCACCGATTCAGGGGCAGGTTCAAGGCGGTGGTCTGCGTCCTGTCTGCAGTTACAACGTGCCTGGCGTTTGTCAAGCCCGCCATCAACAACATCTCTCTGATGACGCTGGGGATTCCTTGCACTGCGCTGCTCATCGCAGAGCTGAAGAGGTGGGTGCCGTTCCCCCTGCCCTTTGCTGTCCCTGTGACAGGGACACACCAGCTCCTTGTTCCTTTACTCCCCTGAGTGTGGAGGAGGAGTTGGACTTTTCGTGAAGAGTTAGTTCCTGACTGTTGTTTTAGAACAGGTTCGATCTCATTTTCCCAAAGAGGGAGCAGCTCTTTTGTGGGTGCAGCTGTTTTGTGGGTGCAGTACATCCTAGGGGTCCAAAGCTAGATTAGCAGAAACATCTCAAGGACCTAGTGTGCCCCTAGACCAGGGGTGGGCAAACTTTTTGACTCGAGGGCCACAATGGGTTCTTAAACTGGACCAGAGGGCCGGAACAAAAGCATGGATGGAGTGTTTGTGTGAACTAATATAAATTCAAAGTAAACATCATTACATAAAAGGGTACGGTCTTTTTTTTTTTTTTTAGTTTTATTCATTTCAAATGGGCCGGATCCGGCCCGCGGGCCGTAGTTTGCCCACGGTTGCCCTAGACCGAGGGGCCTAGAGTGAGTGAACTCTATAGAAAGGAGAATAGGTTTGTTCATATGACAAGAATAAGGAGAAGAGTCCTAAAGTGATAGTTGCAAGTCACACACAGAAGGAAAAAGAAATGAATTTCTGTGTACAAGGTACAGTGTGACTTCTGGTGTCATACTGTTGACGGCTACTTTCTCTGAGATTTGGTTTCTTATTTACAAGCTACCAGGAAAGCCTTTTGTCCTTGGGTAAGCATTTTCCTTTGGGAAGTTGCATACTCAGAGTTCAGGTTGATATGGAGAAACATTTTAGCTTCGCTCTTTTGTGTACGTGACTGTCTTCTAGCCCTCGTGCTCCTAGAAAACGCTTCTGCCTTGTGCGCCCACTTGTAGACATGCATGATTCCCTCATTGCTGTGGACATGGCTGTCTTGGCGGAAGTCTTCTGTCTGTCCCACCTGGTGAAAGTCGCTCTGTGTAATGTGTCAGTCAGCTCTCTCTCAGTCTTTGTTTTGAGAGGAGACATGTACATTTCTATCCTCTGCCCCACCTCTGGGGGTTGCGTTGATTGTCAGCAATCCCAGGCAGGGTCAGAGGTGGCTGAAGAGGTAGGTGAGTCTGCCAGCTGGCCATGGAGGACCGCTGTCAGGCTTGTCTCATTGGCTTCTTTGAGGAGCCTTCAAGGACCAGGGAATTAAGATACCTATTTCAGACACTAACAGATATTTTTTTTAAAATATATTTTTGTTGATTTCAGAGAGAAAAGGAGAGGGAGAGAAAGTGAAACACCAATGATGAGAGATTATCGTTGGTTGGCTGCCTCCTGCACTCCCCTCCGGGGATCAAGCCCGCAACCTGAGCATGTACCCTTGACCAGAATCAAACCTGGACCCCTCTGTCCACAGGCCAACGCTCTATCCACTGAGCCAAACCAGCTAGGGCCACTAACAGATCTTGAAACTCTTTGAAAAACACACAGTTAAATAGCTGTTAAAGACATCTGAAATGGATTTGTAATAGTCACTTTTTCTCATTAGCCTCAATCCTAGAGCTTGTTTCTAGTCTTTTCATATTTTCATTGTCCTTTCTGAGCCTTCTCTCAGACCATGAGGAAATAACATTTATTATGACTTGGGGTCATGATCTGACATTTGCTGAAATTTGGGTGGTGTTCTCACATTACCGAGTGACTCAGCTACATCTAAAATATTGTAAAATAGACTCATTTTTTCTGATCATAAGAGAGTTGATTAAGGAAAACTTTGAGAATGCAACAGAGGGTCAAGAAGAGAAGCAACAGTAGACATCTGCTCAGATTTTTCTATCCTAAACTTGGGTCCTGCTTTTGCACTTAACCTCACATTGGGATTTTGATTCAAGCCCTGAAAAGGCGGGACTATACCCAATGGAGGTCAGGTTTGGATAAGCCCCAAGTGCAAATAAGCCTGGTGTGCAGCACAGCATCTGGCAGGGTCTGCCCCTTCGCCAACAGAGGAAGAGGCAGTGCAGGCTGCCCTGGACCCTGACTCTGCAGTGCTTCCCTCCCAGCATTCCAGGTGCCAGCCCCGCCCACCCCAGGAGACTTGCCCATGTGACATTCCACCTCTTTCTTGCCACTCAGCACACACACTGCATCTCCAGCTCTCTGTGCTGGGGTGTTCCGTAAGCCAAACTTTCTGGAGTGTATAGATCCTCCAGGACCAGACCAATTGCCTTTATATTTGTTGATATTTGCTTCTGTCCATTTTCATTTTACCTTTAAAAATGGCAAGGCTAGAAGCCTGTTTATTTTGTCTTTTAGAGTGCAAAATAGATTGTCTATATATTTGACTTGAGCTTCTGAAATGGAATGACTTATTTTCCTGAGAGGGCTGGAGAAGACCAGGTTTTGGTTGGGGGAAAGGTTAGGAGTTCATTATGGACATGTTAAATGTGGATCTATCTGAGACCTCGGTGGACATGTCTAGAAGGTAGTTGGGTTTGGAGTCGGGTCAGGGAGGGGCCTGGGTGAGAGGTATGGCTCTGGGGCTCATCTGTGCACATACGGGATTCACACCCACGAGCTGGCAGAGCGACGGTATGTGGGGTAGGAATTCCAGCGCCAAGAGGCTGGGGAGATGTGAGGAACCAGACCAGCGCTCAGGGAGGTGGGCGGAAACCAGCACTGATGGCATCTGGATCCTGTGCAGGTGTGACAACGTGCGTGTATTTAAGCTGGGCCTCTTCTCGGGCCTCTGGTGGACCCTGGCCCTCTTCTGCTGGATCAGTGACCGAGCCTTCTGCGAGCTGCTGTCGTCCTTCCACTTCCCCTACCTGCACTGCGTGTGGTAAGCCCTGCCCGTGGGGGGCTGCACTCTCCTTTGGCTCCATCTTCTTCCAGGTGCCCAGGTGTGCCCCCTCTCCTCGGACACTGTCAGACTTTTCAGAAGCAACAGAAACTACTGTCCAAAGCAGAATGGACTCCAGGGAGCTGGCTCAGCCAGAACAAAAAGACCTAGTTGTTTATGCTTCAAGTCCGGGTCTCTGCCCTCTAGCTCCATTATTAAAGCATAATGGAGCCTGAAAACCGAAGCCGTCACCTGAGCTCTGGCTAGACCGCTCGGGTGGGGGAGGTGGGGAAGGCTTGGGACAAACATGGGGACCAGTCCAGGGACGTCCAACCAGGAACCAAAGGAGGTAAATATGACCTCTTTCAAGATATTGTACATTTTTGTCAACCCAAGTTCCCTTTTGGGTTTGAATGACCAGGTGAATACTTGGGCCTCACAGGTCATCTAGGGACAGTCTCGCCCATTCATGTTACAGGTGCAGACCAAGGCCCAGAGAAGTAAAGTGAATTGTTCACAACACCAGCTGGTTATGTAAAACCAGCCCAGGTGTCCATAAGGGGGACTGGGAGCATCTATACCTGGATGCTCAGGAGACGCTGTTAGGTCAAACAATGACGCAGGTTGCGAAGTGTGCAGCATCCTTCTCTCAGAAGCTGAGGAGGAAGCCGAGTGGCTTCCTAGGAACCACTTCCGCTCCAGACCCAGTCATCTCCCCCTCGCTGTCCTCCAGAACTTGTAATTGCGAGCAACGGGGACCAAGGGAGACATAAAGGATGTCTCCTGCAAATTGAGAGCCTCCAGGAGGGAATTCCATTGGTAACGAGTTGGAAAAACTGTGAGATCTGAATCAGATGAAGCGTGACTTGTCAGGAAATGCCTAAAAACCACACGGTTTAGGAGAATTCGCTTACATTTCCTTGAAAAAAAAAAAGGCTTGGGGACTTCAGAACTCTTTGCAAAAGGTGAAATAAAACAAAACAGCTGAAATTGGGATTCCAGCCTTAGGATCCATTGCCTGATGTTTCTTGGGTTCAACCTTGACTCACACTAGTGAGTTTATAAACACTTTATATATTTCCTGAGTTATAACTGACAGATAATAAAACACACAGATTAATACTTACCTGGCAGGGAGATACCGTGGTCACGACGGTGGTTTTCCCAGGGCCAGGTGAGGCTTATCCATTGCGCTGCAGTGTGCTGACACCTGCGATTTCCTCAGATGTGGGAAACGGCTGCATGGTTTGTGGTAGTGGGGGACTGCCTGCCTGCTCTCCCCTAAAAAATAAAACAAAACGCACAGGTGTAAATGTATGGCTTGATGAGTTTTGATAAATATATACACCTGTATAAATATGACCTTATTCAAGATATAGTACATTTTTGTTGATCCAAGCAAGTTCCCTGGGCACACTAGCAATGTAAGTAAAATTCGAAGATTATACTGTAACTGGAGGCCTGGTGCACAAATTCAAGCACAGTTGGGGTCCCTCCTGGCCAATCGGGCCATCTCGCCAAGTCCCAGTTGGGGCCGGCCCTGGGGAGGGATTGCGGGAGGTTGACGGACCAGGGGAAGGGACCACAGGAGGTCGGCCGGCTGGCCAAACTGGGCCCATCAGGGCCGGCCACCCGGGGGGAGGGACAGCGGGAGGTTGGCCAGCCGCAGGACGTTGGCTGTGGGAGCGCACTGACCACAAACTGGGCCCATCAGGGCCAGCCGCCCGGGGGGAGGGACCGCGGGAGGTTGGCCAGCTGCAGGACGTTGGCTGTGGGAGCGCACTGACCACCAGAGGTCAGCTCCTGCGTTGACCATCTGCCCCCTGGTGGTCAGTGTGCATCATAGCTACTGGCCGGTTATCTGGTTGTCCCGTTGTAACGATTGCTCAGGCTTTTATATGCTAGAATATAGATAACTTTGGTTTAAATTCAGTTTGTTTCTAAATTTGGTGTACTTTCTGCTTTGTTTGTCAAAATGGACCATCTTTTTGTCCCAGTTATAAAATGGCTTGCTTTTTAATAGTAAGTTTAAACAACATAGAGAAATATAGGAAGAGAGAAGCTCTCATAATTCCATCTACCAAAGAGAGAACAGTTGTTAATGGCCTGAGGTATATCCTTCTTGATTATGCATATATATATTTCTCCACTTCGCTTTTTAAAAACAAAAATAGCATCATTCTGTACATGATGCAAACTGGTCCTTTTTTCTTCCTCACACCAAATACTAGGTCCCGGACAACTTTCCTTACCAAGGCCTGTCCGTTATCTTCATTTCCTTTGTGTGTGTCCGATCAGTACGTCACAGCGTGCTTTATAAGTACACCCTCTTAGCCCCCGTTTTAAACCCTGCGGCTCAATCTTCTGGGTTGGACCCCAAAGGCATGTGCATGGTGGTTCCTGTTATCAAGCTGGAATATTAGAACATCCTAAAACAGGCCTTTTGCTCCAGATTTATCGTTCCCCTTCTCCCCTTGCTAATTAGAAGAAACCCCGAAGGTCATTGCGCCAGGAAGGGTGGGTCAGGCCAGAAGGGGGCGGCGCGGGGGGGGGGGAGCGGGGAGGAGGCGCCCCGCAGCAGGCGGCACAGCCTCTGCCAGGGCAGGTCTCACCTCCTGTCCCGTCTCCCTTTCAGGCACATCCTCATCTGCCTGGCCGCCTACCTGGGCTGCGTGTGCTTTGCCTACTTTGATGCCGCCTCCGAGATCCCTGAGCAAGGCCCTGTCATCAGGTTCTGGCCCAGCGAGAAGTGGGCCTTCATCGGCGTCCCCTATGTGTCCCTCCTGTGCGCCCACAAGAAATCCTCAGTCAAGACCACGTGACGGAGGGCGGGCTTCTCTGCCTGGGTGTCCTCCGGGATTCTTGCCAGCAAAGACCCCTGGGGGGTCTCAGAGTTGGGGGTGGGGTCTATTTTCTTAAAAATGCTGTTTCCTTGGGCTCTCCCTGGTGTGTGTGGACCCCGGACTCCACTGCTCCCAGAGATGGAAGGTAGAGGGCTGAGGACTGGCTACAGCGTCACTTTCGAGGCAGTGGCTTATGGTCTGCGTCCCTGAGCCAGTGGGGGACTCAGTGCCTCCTTCCTGTGGGTTTGTGGGCTCCAGACCCCCAGTTCTGTCTGACAGTCAGATCCTTGCTCAGACAATGCCCTCCACCCGTCTGATGGAGGACACCAGGTTTCCTCAAACACCCGGGTTTTACATGCATTTATGGATCCTTTCACTTCTACCTCTGCTGAGACATGGAGACCTGACAGGCGAGGGTAAAGCTAAGGAGAAAACCCCTCTGTGCCAAAACGACTGTCCATTTTAAGCCATTATTGAAGGTGACGAAGTGTTTAAATATGGACACTGTTGTCCCCCACCCCAGCCCAGTAGCCTCAGACATACAGAGGAGTCGCTGGGTCCCTCCCCAGGCCCCTCCCCACTGCCTGACCTCTAACATCACCCAAGGGCTGTGACAACCGTGAGGGTGGGGGCCCGGGCTCAGAGGTGGGAGCAACCACGAAGTTTTGGAGACGTGTTCTCATTGGACACGTCCTGTGAGCTGCCTGGACGTTACCTCAAGAACATCCCCGACCTTTCTCTGGCTTTTGCTGGGGTAATTATTCTCCACGCTCGCACTGGGAGGGGCTTCCTGTAGATTCTCCGAGCATTTGGGCCGCAGTCCCCAGTGCTGGCAGTAACCATGCATTGGCTGGTGGGTCCTTGGCCGGTGCCGCAGGGCGAAGCTGTTGCCTCTGAGTTTTTCCCACCTAAAGTGACACTGGCTACCACTAAATCTCTTCCCTGGGCTGGGATGGATGGGAGACTCCACACGCCCCTGAAGGTGTGAGGGGCGATTCGCGGCCTCAGGGATACTCATTCTCTCTCAGGCGCTTCCTGCTTTGCAGCCTTCCCCTGTGAGGGCAGGGCAGGCTGTCCTTGTGCAGCCAGGAGCCTCAGAGGTGGGCAGCAGCAGTGTGGGGCCTGGCCGGGAACTGTTTCTCCGGCTGGAATTTGCACAGGACCTAAGGCAAAACCCCATGAAAGAACGGAATCCGAAGTTTAAAAATGAATGACTATCTTCTGTGGTTTTCAAGTTATTTTAGCAGCAGAACCCTGTTTGCAGTAAGAAATCTTTATGGAACCCCAATGTATGACATGGGTTTTATTAGCTTAAATTTACTTTGAGGTTAAACTTATAGCAGTTCTTAAATATATCAGGCAGTGAAAATGCAAATTAACGATTTGGCCGTTTTCAAGATAGAAAAATTGGGTATTGAATGAGTGTACATATTGCTATATTGTAGTATAAAAATATATTCTAAAAACGATGTTTGAATTAAATATTTCAAAAACCTCTAACCCACCTCTATGTGACCTAGGTGGTTCATGAAACAGAATTTGAAAACTACTAAGTCCTTTGGGTTTCAAGTCCAGAATTTTTAAAAGGGGGATATCAGACTGCCCTCTCTTCTGGTTGGCTCAGCAGGCACCGATCCCGGTTTCATCCATTCTGCACAATAAAAATGCCCCCAAGTAAGGGGTTTGGTGTGCTGTGAGCCCACCTGTCTTAGTGTGGAAGCGCAGGTCAGGAGACGCAGAGAGAGGAGGGTAGGACATGTTTGTGCGTGTGTCTGTCTGGAGGGTTCCTTGGTGAGGGGAGCATTGTCAGGGATGGACCATTTACCCCATCAGATGCAGGGCTGGTTCCCTGGGGAACACTACCTTCAGCTCCCAAGGCTTTGACCTTCTGGAAGTTTCTGGGTGTCTTTGGAAATAGAGATGAACGGTGACTGCTGGAAGGAAGGAAGGACGTGCCCTGACTCGGGCTGTTTCCATCCCTCTAGCACAAGAAATGATGTGAATAAGTTCAGATATCAGGAGGAATGCTTCTGATAGGAACACAATGCCCTACTAGGAACTGGTTCTAATGCAATGAGGGCCGAGAAAGAAGTGGGGAGTGGGGTATACTGAGGGCAAAACATAACCCGTTTGAACAGCAGTCACTATAGCTTGTCAGCGTGGGATGGCAAGTCAAGAGAGTATTTAAGTTAGGTTGATGGTTTCATTCATATTTATAGTTACACGTTTGTAATGCTTTGATAGCACTACTTGCTCTTTAAAGAAAATTGGGATACTACAAAAAAGTCAAAGAAGTAATCTATTTCTATAGCTCAAGGACAACCATTCATATTTTGGTATATTTCCTTCTAGTCTTTTTTTTTCCTACTACATTTGTAAGTAGATGTCTTTTAGAGCTGATGGTTTGTCCTGTGGTTTGAGTGGAATGGAAGTGTGAGTTGGGTATTTTGCACGAAGAGCAGGCTTTGAAGTGCACTCGCCTTAGCGAGACGCTGGAGCGCTCATTACTGGATTCTGAGCCTGACTACTGATTCTTCCCTGCTGATGGAGCCGCGCGTGGAATCATGGACTGGATTCTACTCCTAGACATGCTTCTGCTCTTGGACTGACGAGTAATAGGAAATAGTGTTAAATATATGGCTCTAAGGTTTCGATGTTTGCCGATGTAAAGTGAGTGAAGGCCTTATTTCATTAATGAATGTGCAATCAAGAATCGCTCTCCCTGCTGCCAAGGAGGGAAGTGGCGATGCCACACTTGGGAGCTAGGTCATGGTAGTTGCTCTGCATGGCTATCAGATTTCTGTTCTGGGTAGAATTTGCCCCAAATCAATATCCAGAAGGAATGCATTTTGCATATTAAAAAAAAAGTTACCATGTTATTAAGTGAATGATTCTTATTGAATACTGTTTGGTTGCTTATTGATTTTTAGGAAAAGAAATATTTATCCCCTTGATGAGCATATTATCAAACAAGCACTTCAGTGAACATATTTAAGGTGCATGGGAGCAGATATCTGAACCTATTTGGTCACATGCTACATTTTGGGGGAACGCCGTCCCCCTGGAGAGCGCCTAAGCTCAAGGGTCATCAAACACAGGCTTTGTGAAATGCCATCACCTATTCTGTTTATCGGGTTTCTCAGGTGTGTAAAGCATCTCACCAGTCCAAGCTTATGTGAGCCAGTGCCGTCTTGGCGGCCCCAGGACCGGATTGGAGCCCTCCCTGGCTCTCCCTCCCTCGGGGCTGACAGGGACCCCCTGTGAGGGACAGGTGAGGGCTGAGGCCAGCCTAGCCAGAGCCCCGACCAGAGCTCCTTTTCTCCAAATGGACGTGGGACCTTTCATAGCCAGCTCTTGGCCCTGGGTGCTGCCATTCTAGCTGGCCAAAGAGAAGGCTCAGGCCAGGTTGGGATTCCCCATGGCTTTTATAACATCATTCTATGGACTTCTTTTTCTTGAATGGCCCCTACTATACGGGGCTAATTGAATTGTATCTCTATATGTTAAGCCAGATTTAAGAGTATTTTATAACCACAGTTTGTAATTAGAACAAATATAGTATTTTCGGATACATTCCTTCTAGAGTTTATACTTTATGCAGAGTGTGCTATGTAAGACGTGTGCCCACTGGCTGTGGTGGCCTGCAGCCTCCATTGCTTTGGGAGTAGCGTTAGGCCTTTTGAAATGGAGCTCTTGCACTTTATGCTCTTTCTGTGAACTCTGACAGCTTTGTTGCATATTAAAGCCGTGATGGCATTTTCTGTGAATAAATATGTATGTTTGTGGTTATTTCCACAATGACTTTGAAATGCCCGTGTAAAAAAATGCATTAAATGGATTTAATTGTCAGGCCCAAATTCATTTATTAATGAATTTGGTTTATCATTGTTATGAAACATACTTAAAATTAGTGTAATTGTTAGTTTCTGCTCCGAGCTATGAAATCAATACATCTAGACGTTTCCAATATAAAGTACCTAAAAGCAGATTACTTTTATTAAAAGTTCTATAATTATGTTAGGTGGATATAAAATCTCAAATATAGAAAATAATTCATCTGTGCTGGATTTCATCCAATCACTGGGAGGAAGATCATATGACATTTCAAAATATGACTGTAGCAGGACTAGTTTCTTAAAATTTTTGTGTTTTCAGTGAAACCATTCAAAGGCCATCATATAACGGGTGATATGACCATTAGAGATGAGCGTGGATTAGCATGATGAATACATTACAGTGGCTCTGTTTTTCCTGGCAGGGGCGAGGGGACCAGGAGCCTTTGGACAACCATGTGGAAGCAGTGCATCTTCTCCCTAGGAAAATGCCCACGCATGCCATTCTCTGGGCATTCAGATATTCCTAGAAGCAACCCAGGTTTAAAAGCAAACAAACAACCCCCCTGCATGACAGGACACTAAGCCAGCATTCAAATCCTCGTGGGGAAATTGCACAGCTCAGCGTTCTGACCGCCCTCTGAGACCAGAGCTCCCCACACCCCCTTCTCTTGTAAAGACTTTACATTATGAGGGGCCAATGGGGTGGGGAGGCGGGGAAGGAGGTGGTGGGGGGAGGGGAGACAAACACGGGCCCTGAACTTACATCCTACGTGTCCCCAACAAACCGGGAACTTCCATTTTCCTCACAGCCTCTGTCATGGTTTATAGTTTCAGACCCACCTTCAGATGGTATCTGAGCCTGGCATAGCATCTGTGTACTTTTGCATGGTTGAAATTTTCCATACTAAACATTTTTTTTAAAGAGCAGCATTTGGGTTTTCATTCTCGGCTCTCTCTGGAGCCGGCTCCGCCTCACCAGCTTAAGGAGTTATCTTGTCTCAAGTGGGCGCTTCCGTCTCTGACCACCTCCAGGCCTGGCCATACCCAGCTTACCTGGGAAATAGCAACCTCACGTGAGGCTTTTTTGTTTGTTCATTTTGTTTTCTCATTAAAATCACACTTTTGATTTAAGCTGCTTTTACAATTGGGAGTAGATCATAAACCTGTGTTTAAAATGGAACGAATAACCATGAAGTCAGTCGGTAGAGTTTATTTTTGTATCAGGACTGGTGAAGGGACAGTGGCTGAAGGTGAGGCCAAGAGCATGACTTTTCGACAGAAAGTGCACAATGCCATTAATGACATTAGCTAGGCAGGGGTGGGGAGGGCCATGTGGCTATCTATAACATAGTTATCAACTTAAAAATTAGCCTGCTATAATTGGTCAGACATTTAATGAACTCACCCCTAATGCCTTGGCAAGCCCAGACCAGACCACATGATTTCTCCAGCCTTACACCGCTGGCGGGCCGGACATTCCCCACCCCAGAAATAAGAAAGCAGGAGCCACTGCGTGGGCAAGACCGGAGAGATTCCTGGAATAATATTGCCATCGTGTGGCCTCTTTGGGTATTGCTACCAGTGGCACACGAGAAGCCCATCTCCATCGCTACTCATCCCAGAACTCAATATTATTGTTTTAAAACTCCCACAAGTTACGCAACCTCTTTTTGGGTCCAAATATGTTTCCTTAGATTTTTTCTTTTTTTTTCTTGGATTTTTACAGAGCATCTCTATGCCTTTATATCCCTCTCCTCCTTCCACATAACCTCATTCTTCATCCCCTAGGCCTTTTATTTTATTATTTTTTTTATCTTATTAGATTTTTAAAAAATCTGAAAAATATCATAAAACAAATATTTTCCTGCATATAAAACCAACCTAACATAAATGTGATCTAGAGGAGTTTTTTCTTAATCCACTGGAGTTAAATTTAACTTTTGGGATTAATAGTTTCATTTACACAAGTCAAATGCCAGTACAACCCATGTCTTTAAGACGGAATGCAGTTTGAACCAACACTTAGCAAATGCCTGCCTTGTATTCGGTGTGGGCCAGCTGCTGAGGGCTTTGTGATGTGTGTGGAGGAGAAGGAGACCTCTAGCTCTGCTGAGATCTTTGCACAGAGAGAGCTGTGAGGCAGACAGGAGAGAGCGCGGCTTGGCCAGAGGGTGTGGGGTTTGAGAATTCCAACCTTTAACTGATGTACCATGAGCCATCTTATCTAATCCTATCTAATAATAGAGAAACATGGTAATTAACCGTACCTCTGACACGCTTCCCATTGGCTAATCAGCGAGATATGCAAATTAATAGCCAGCCAAGATGGCGGCTAATTTGCATATGTCAGTGCCAAGTGATGGAGCAAAGCCTGTTGGCCCCAGGTAGGAGCAGCCCTCTGCGCTGCTGCCACCGGGATCCGCCCCTGGGAGCCCAGCCGGATGGTAGTGCCAAGTGATGGAGCAAAGCCCGTTGGCCCCGGGTAGGAGGAGCCCTCTGTGCTGCCGCTACCGGGATCCGCCCCTGGGAGCCCAGCCGGATGGTGGGAGCGGAGAGCGAAGGCCAGCATGGGGAGTGTGGAGAGCGAAGCCAGCGCGCCAGCTCCACCCCCAGGAGCCAAGCCCGGTGGCAGGAGCGGAGAACGAAGTCCACCTCGAGGGTCCCTACCCGCGAAGAGCAAAGGCCGGCTCCACCCCCAGGAGCCAAGCCCCTGGGGAGCGGAGAACAAAGTCCGCCTCGAGGGTCCCTACCCGCGAAGAGCAAAGGCCTGGGTTTGTGCCGCTGGAGGAAAACTGGTGCCAGCAGCCAGGGGAAGGGGCCCCCTACTGCAAGAAGGCACAAGCTGGGCTTAGGCGGCTGCTTCCCTGCCCCTGCACTCGGCTTCTGCGGTGATCAGGTGATCAATCGGTGACCGCCGAAGCCCGGTGCGGTGGCAAGGAAGCAGCCGCCGCCAGCTTCCCGGGCCAGCACTTCCCTGACCCACACCCGGCTTCTGGGATTGGTGACGCCTATGTTTGCATGACACATAACTGACTACCCTCCCTGGAAGCACAGAAGAAGAAGAAGCCCCCAGAAGAAGAAGCCGCCCACCTTTGGTCCAGGTGCCAGTGACTGTGGCTGGGTGCAGCCCAGGCGATGGA